ATAGGCGAGCCCCATTCAGCGCTTTTTGCGGTTTTCGGCCTCCTTTGCTTGAGACTCTGAGTGTGGTGGCACGACACACCGCCTCGAAACTCACTGAACTCATCAGCTCTCTACTGTTTTGATGTGCCCCTCAAATGTTTTAAGTTAACTAAATGCGCAGCCCTATGTATTTTCTGTACAGTTGTACATCTTAATTAATGAGCTCCGAGTGCATAAGCTACATTACTGTTCCATACTCCAACGATAGTAAAAAAAATTAGGCATGGTTGGCTTGTTAACCCTCGGCGCGCATGCGCTAGAGGGTTATAGTACTTGGTTTGTCATTCCGTCCGTCCGCCCGTCCGTCTGTCTGTCCGTCTGTCTGTCTGTTTCCACGTTTTCTCCCGCTACGCGCAACAAGACGGCCAAAAACCGATACCAACGGGTTCAGTGCCACACTGGCGATTTTGGTAAAAATGCTGCGTTCGAAAGTTATGGCATGTAAAGCAAGTCAAGGAGCTAATATGCAAATTAGCACTGGCTTACCTCGGCCAGCTCTGCGTACCTTGGAGGCAGCAGAATTTGCAACGCAGGACGAGTATCGACTCCCGCGTGCTATCTAGCAGTGTAGCAAGCCTGTGACCGACTCTCAGCGAGCTGGTAAGCGACCACGAGTCAGTAAAACGGTAAAATTGGACCAGTCCACCAATTAGCAGTGCCGCGCATGCGTACGGTGTAGCGTGTACGTCATCCGCATCTACATATAAGTTAGTTACTCCGTTCGAGGGAACTACGGGATTTCAATGAACCCGAGTGCCTCTGCGTTGTAGTGTCCCGAGCGCAGCGGGCACTACGCGTGATGGCCCGAGGGTTCATTGAATCCCGTATTTCCCGAGTATACGGAGTAACTAACATGTTTAGTGCAGAGCAGACACGCACAGCGCCCGTTTCCAGGCGACTGAAATTCGAATGAGCGTGAAGACGCGATTGGTAACCGACTCGAGCGAGGTTTCAGCCACCAGCGGCGAGCCATAAATGATAGGCAGAAGCTATATCAGCACCGGCGGCCCGCTCGCTGTCCGCCGCGGAAAAGGGCGCCGCCCACTCTACGCGCACGTATCTGCGGGCGTGACGTACCGCTAACGCTAGCGTACAGGCGCTTACGTACAGCTAGGCCCAGACTTCTTGTCTCTCTGTGCATACTGTTGAAACTAAAAAAGAATTATTGTAGACGATAAAGCTACATGTTTCTGTAGATGATGTACGTGATCTTGTCATTTTCATGTAAACATTTTACATGAAAAACAAGGTTTACTATGGAGTGTCCCAGGTATACTACGGGAAATCAAGTACCTCGTGTGGACCAATCAGATTGCTCGATTTAAACCAGCTATGCACTAAACCTTGCATAGGACAAGGCTGCGTAGAAAAGCATTGCAGGTAACCTGCTGAGGCACAGCCTGCCCTAGTAAGAAAATGTTAATATTCTGCACACCATTCAGGCATCAGAATGTGCACAGGGTGAGCAAGGATCTACCATTGCTAACCTACTGATGTAGATGATGACATGTAGCATCTTAGTAGTATGTACATGTACATGCGTATACAAATTAATCAGCCCACTGCGCCGAGGGTTAGCACTTCAGTGTCTTTCATTTCTTCTTGCACTGATGTTCCTACAAAAAATGTGAAATCGTTGACACCCATATTTTGAAGTCGGGAAGTATAGGTGGTAATAGAGGTGAAAGAAGTATTGGTGAAGCTAGATAGAGAGATGGGCAGCAAGTAAATATACATTACTATTCCATACTCCAATGATATTAAAAAGATTGGGCATCGTTGGCTTGTCTCTTCTTGCACTGATGTTCCTACAAAAATTGCAAAATCGTTGATACCCATATTTTGAGGTTGGGAAGTAGGAGATGTTGAAATAGAGGTGAAAGAATTAATACAGATACAATAGATAGAGAGGGGTTAAGAAAGCAGGCATAATTATAATAATATATATTACTATTCCATACTACAAAGATTCCACTGTGCATGCTACTAGGAGCAATGCAATGAATCATCTCCACTTTTGAACTTTTGGTGATAAAGTACTTTGTTGAATTAGACAAGTAGCAAAGACAACATCTGTTTGTGACTAATATTATTTCTTCCCTTCACTCCAGAGCTCTTCAATGAAGACCTTAGGAGCCACTACAGGTAGCCCAGACCCTGCTAATTGAGGATACCTTTTCTCTTGCGTCTTGCGTGGAAAGAAGAGTTGTCCTGGGTGTAGTTGAAGTGTTTGCTTCGTCTTCGCCTTACTACCTCACATTGTTGTTGACACCTGCAACCATTGAAATAAGGACACCTCGCTGATAATTGATAATTTGTTCCATCCCATTGGTGTCCCAATACTGTAGAGGAGTTTCACAGTAAAGGCAATGTTTCTGACCACAGGGTGGAACTGACTGTGAATCCCCCAAAGTTGGAGCCATTCACACGAGACCACCACGCCTCGTGGGTCATCGACTCTGGTAACTCCTCCCCCACCCTCGACAATGACATCACCCTCCCTTGTAAGAACCTCTCATCTTATACTCTCCTCTCACATAAACTTAAGCAAAGCAGTCAGCCAGAAAAGTTTCGTATTAGCTACCATTATGCAATTGAGTGTAAACTCACACTTTCTAGAGATGTTTGTACTTGGTGTTAAAGACAATGTGGCAGTATAGGGCTAAATAATTAGACTCAGTTACTAAAAACCAAGCTAAATATCATTCTTTCACTGGGCTCTATTGTTTTTGTTCTATCTTTAGTAACATTTCTACCCTTATGTAATGACAATACCCTAATGCCTAGAAAGACAAACTTCTATTAGAATGTATAGTGCTAGGAACCAAAACCTCATTCCAACTCTCATTCCTGTTGTCATAGCTCTAGAAGAGCACACTCCATTACCTGCTCTCACCAAGAACAAAGTCAGCCAGAAACATAAATCACGAAGACCCACTCGAACAGGGGTCAAAGGTGAACAGGACGAATCAACCATCATGTAGGATGATTATCTCATAATACTGTTCAATATTCACATATTGTATTTCTCGGAATGTTTTAGTGTGTGTGTTCGAATCACAGTCACAATAGCAGCTCTCTGATTTCTCTTTTTATCTATCTCATCACTGATGGTCATACTACTGTGTCGTCACTGTAATTATCATGTGGCAAGTTTTAGTATATAGCTCATTCATCATTATATGTGTATTATAGCACGGCTAGCTCATTTCACCAATTCACATGAATAACTATCACTCTCAGGACTCCGTAAACCAACTACATAATTATATACTTACTTATACAGGTTGAATTGGTGCATCTTTTAGACACAATTATGTCCAGAGCCAATACTAATGTTCACAAGATAGCTACTCATGGCGTTAAAGTATCTTTTGGAAATATGTATATTATGATTGTGATTCATGATGTGCTGTTAGAGATGAGGGGAAGAGGAAGCAAGTGTGAGGAAGAAAGACCTTTGTTACTTCATATAAGACTAAGTTTTGAGTCTCGAAATGTTGTTGGTTAGCTACCCAATGCATAGTATGCCATAAGAAAACAGTTATGAACATGGGTTACGAGCTGGAACATGAAACTGCTGACCAGCAGATTTCGTGACTCAAAACTAAGTCTTATATGAAGAACCAACCAGAAAAGCAGTGTGTATGTGTTTGTTCATTAGGAGCAAAAGCTTTCTTGTCACTTTACCTGATGAAACCAGCGGCAGACATGAACATACTGCGCCTTCTGCCCAAATGCGATTCCTGCTCATGTACATAATATTATCATTATAGAGTTGACACAATGCTTCCATAATACAAAACATATTATACAAGCAATCAACTTAGTAAACTTAGTCTTACATGAAGAAATACAAAAGATCGCCACCGTCCGTTACGTTACGTAATCTCGCGTTACGTAACGTAAGCAAGCGACGGCGAACGTTTGCGCGCAATGGCGACACGCGTACAGTTTTTAGGCATGCGCGTGAACCAAGCGCTAATCGCTGCTTCCAGATCAACTGCCTGCACTGTGCTGCGTTTATTTATTTCACTGACTAAAGAGGTACTAAAAGACAACTAAGAGTCATGGGATGCATCTCCCGCGCGGTTTGGCGCTGGCCGGAATACGCTGGCTGTATGAGCGGTGCTATTCTGGAGCATGTAGCTAGGACAGTTATGTTCGGGCCAGTTACAGGCATCATCATCTTTTTTAGAGCCAAGGGTCTCTTAGCTACAGCTTGCGCTTGCAGCAGGTGGGTATTATTTAATTTCACATAGCTATATGGCCAGATCTGTGCCATAAACAGATGTGGTCAGCAAATGGCTGAAAGAAAAAGGGATCAGGCCGGATCAGATGGCATATGCTGGTATTGCCAGGGCTCCAAGACCACAAAATCAATTCGGGTTAACAGTTTCTTCACAAGGTCCAGGCTTTCTCTTCAGCAGGGTGATATTGATGGTCTGGTGGGCAAAGGATACCCGGTGTTGAAGGCAGCCACAGAAGCTGATACTTCTGCAAACACGGCATGCCAAGTATATCAGTGGCTCCGGGAAGTTTGCCCCACGAGATTATTGCAAACACAAATAGTTCTTGGTGGGCCTGGTATAATTGTGCAAGTGGATGAATCACAATTCCGGCACAAGCCTAAGGTATTCACAAAATCACACTTCTGGTATTTTAATAATCTTTATATTTAGCATCACCGTGGTAGAGGGCCACGCCGTGATATGTGGGTGTTCGGCATTGTGGATGTGGATGTGGAGACTCCGGCGCTGGGTTATATGGAGGTCGTTCAGACCAGAGATGCTGCTACACTGCTGCCTATAATTAGAGCACATGTTGCACCTGGAAGTGTCATTCATTCAGACATGTGGTGAGCTTATAGTCGGGTTGCAAGGTTGCCAACAGTCAATGCGCACCACGCAGTGAATCACTCACTGAACTTCGTTGATCCTGTCACGAGAGTCCACACCCAACATGTGGAGTCATATTGGAACAGGGTTAAGCTGAAGTTAAGGCCATGGAGGGATGTCAGGCCTCATCTGGTTCCTTCATACCTGAGACGAGTGTGAGAGGTATGGAGAGAGGGCAGTGCACAACATCATGCAAGACATTGCAAACCAGTCTTACCTGTATAAAGTCACCTCTGTTTCTGCTAAGATTATCACTGCTTATACTATAATTCAAGATTGGCTCAGACCCACGCAGTGGTTGCAAGCTATTCAGAGTTGTATGAGGAAGGTGAAGTTGAAATATCAAACTGTGTATCCACAGTGGCTTCATTGTGTACACTATAAAGCCCCACATTTCCTTGCAACCTCGGCCTTTGGATTAGCTCCTCATACTGTATGGTCTTTCTCCTCACCTGCTGCATACCAGCAACATAACCCTACCCCTTATCTTATACTCCTCATCTTTCACCCTTACTTACTTAAACACAGGGAGGGTGTGAGGGACCGTTGATATTTCAACCTCCCTCAACACACACAACACAACACAGTTGATATTTCAACCTCACCTTCCTCCATACAACTCTGAATAGCTTGCAACCACTGCGTGGTCTTAGCCATTCTCGAATTGTATTTCAGAAGGCTTGTTTGTAGCAAGCCTACTAGGCTTTCCCATGGGTTCCTTTGCTAAGCTCAAGAGCTCGCTCTTACATTACTCAAGGATCAAGAGCTCCGCTCTTCCTTCACAACGAGGCTACTCAGTGCTAGTATCAGTGGTAGAGAGCAACGCTCTCCCAAACAAGGATCTTCTGTTGGTTTGTAGACTCAGAACTCCAGTCCGCAGCCTTTAGTTGTAATCCCCAAGTTTGCAGCTGCTGAAGACGATGCCCTTATACTGAGTGGGCACTAAACACAGATGTATCAATTCCTGCTCCTTCAACAGAGATTTATGCCATCTATCTATGGTGCTAGATGAACTGCCTTGTATGGCTTAATGAGAGCCATAAATAACCTCAGTTCACCTCCCCTGTACAGTCCCCATGGGCCTTTAGAGTTAGCACTGGACATAGTCCAAGGTCATGTGGGAAAGAAGGGAAGAAAAAGTCGTTATTGGTTTCCCTAGATTGCTTAGCCCAACTTCTTGGTCTGAAAGTCACACCTTCTGGCTTATACTGCTTCCCACGTAAACTTAGCTGAGATAGATCAGCTGACCTAGAGGGGCGTGGCAACGCTAGTAGCATAGCTGTTTTCCAATTCAACTGTTTCTGCCCCATGAAGATATATATGACAGTACTGTCTGTACATTCCATGTACATGAGTACCTAGGCAGTGGGGGGTCTATCATTAAACACACCTTTCATCAATCCTGTAACGAGGGGGTGTTGCCCCACTGTGTAGCCATCTATTCTCTCATACCCCGATGAGATTTCAGAGCGGTAGGAGTTGAGGGATCGATACTGATAACCCTCCTTATGTAGGTGTGCCAGGAAGTTTACAACTTCCTTTATAGGGCCTGAAAAGGGATCCGAACCCCTTGAACAACACTGTCACTTGCCAAAGAGTGGGTCGTAAGACTTGTTGCTATCGTGATCGTGATTGATCAGACGTGGTATTGCAATTAGGGGTTACCATGGTTGTGTCTTCCAGACTGGTACCACCAGAGCAATGCGAGCCTTGTCCATTTGTACTTTGGGCAGTACCCGACCTATCAGATTCCAAGGTGGGTTGGCATACCCTACTGATTTGTGACCAGTCCTGCAGGAGCATTTGTGGGTATCTGGCCACCAGCTGAAAAACTCTGGGCACTGCGCCGTCAGACGAGATGAAAACAAATCCATCTCTATTGGACCGAAAAGGTATGTGATCCTGTTAAATATCGCAGGATTCAGCTGCCAGTCTGACCGGTCTGTCATAGTCCGAGACTCCGCATCGGCTACTACGTTCTGGACACCCGGTAGATGTTGGGCTATGATGTGGATACTCCTTTCCAGGCACCACATCCACAGGCTCTTCGCCAAGTCCACCAATTCAAATTTGGAAATGATTTCGGATAAAAATAAGCGCGTAAGAAGCTGCGCATGCGCACTTACACGACGTACGTGGACGTATATAAATCCGATCGAATCCTTGGAGACTGTTCCTCCCAGGCTGTTGATGTATGCCAGTTCCAATTTATGTATTATGTGCGTGTCCCACCACATCAATTCCTCCCTTCACTCCCTTCTCCGGGGAACCTGTGCTTCGTAACACTGGAAATGTTGATTCAGTGTGGCCGCCAGGGTAGTGTAGTTTAACCATGGGTTAAACAAGGTTAATGGGGAGGGCAGTGCTATAGGGGTCCGCAGGGCGTACGCAACCAGGCAGTGCATAGCATCATGCAAGACATTGCAAACACCTCTGTTGCTGCTAAGAATATCCACTGCTTTTACTATAACTGCTTATCATCATCCTTATCCATCCTTAGTCCTTACACTTGATGGTCACTTTGGTTCACGTGCATGCGTAGAAAACTGTAGGCGTGTCGCCATTGCGTGAAAACGTTCGCCGTCACTTGCTTGAAAACTTTACTTAACGCACGATTGCTAACGTAACGGACGGTGGCGATCTTTTGTATTGATCCCTTGTCGCCATGAGCCCTGCTTCTGACGATGACACAATAGTCGCCAAGACCATGCGATGGGGCTGTGCGAGGTGTTGTGGCTGCCATCGCCAGGATTGGCGGAATGCTAGCCGGCATCACTCTGCTATCCGTCTCTACATTTTGATTGGTTGACTGATACCAGCGTGTGATTGGTTATACTTCTCGCGCTATTCCTGCAAACTTGAGTCGTATCCGTCGTGGCACTGCGCTCTCCTGTTAACCTAGTTTAGACCTAACTCCATCCATACCTTCGGCAAACTGCGCATGCGCGATACTGCAAATTGATGTGCTGGGCTATTAAGTATTATGCGTTTACTCGTGGTGTCCCACTGGTAGCTGGCGGAGAGTCTGCCACGGGCTAGCTACAGCAGTAGATACCATGCTGGAGTCGATACACGTCCTTTGTTGTGACTTCTTGTGCCTTCAAGATACACAGGGAGAGCGAACCCCTGTTCTAATTAGCATATTGGCTTTTTCGCTCGTGTTTCACACCGTAACTCTCGAACGCAGCAGTTTCCATACATATGTTTCAACGCTGAATACCTGGTATTGTTTTTGGAGCGATCATGGCTTGTGAAGTGAGATGCTGGGTAACGGACAGACACACACACACACACGACAACTACAGTAACTCTCGCTGCGCATGCGCACCGAGGGTTAAAAGAGGTAAACACTACGATAACATGTTACAACAACTTATGTCAATTGTACTTTTACTTTTTACTTACTACTTTGTGTGTGTATTATTTTACAGGTTGAACTAATCAGACGTGACTATGTAGCTAACAATGGTTGGGAAACATTCTTGTCTTACGAGGACCCTGAGCAAGGTATTTATGAAGCTAAGAAAATAATTGTTTTCCCTATTTTGCCATTGTTCCAGATATCTTGGTTGGACTGTTGCGTCTAAGAAAATGCTCTTCTGATACATTTAAACTGGAACTGAAAGGTGGTGTGTCAGTCGTCAGAGAGCTACATGTCTATGGTAGTGTGGTGCCTGTAAATGCCAGAGATCCTTCGAAGTTCCAACACCAGGTTTTTACTAGTGGAAATGCTTAGCATTTATTGGGCAAGCAGAGCGAGCACTATAGCACTATGGCAAACATAATTTGGTTGTCAGTGAGTATTCCAGAGACCTCCTCGACTGACATGTACATAGATGTCACTCAAGTGAAGGCGAAGCTCTGGGGAGATAGCTCAGGTTATGGCTTTAATACTACCTAGAGTGAACAAGACGAAGGCCTCACAGCCAACACATACCCAGATTTCATATTTAAAAAGCACATAACGTCAGCACATGCACAGTTCGATGATGTATGGATGCATAAGAATAATAATGTACAAAACACCAAACAAACGACCCAGTGAACTTGCTCCACTTGCCCAATGTCATTAGATTGGAGTTCCACCCCATACAAAAGCAAAACTTTACCCCTCCTGACCTTGATGACTTCTAAGCTGTGCAGCACAGAGGGCACTCTTTGGTCCATCACGATCCTTGGCTAGGGACACATCTCAAGTGCTGCCATGTTTGCATGTTTCTCTGCCACCTATATCTCCTGTACACTGTACATCTACTTGTACATATCAGTGTGGCCAGCTTTCTAGTATTGTACCCATAATAGCTAGACTCCTATATAATGTACTTATGTGACCCTGTAACAAAATCGACAGGGGTTTGGAATGATGCTGATGGAAGAGGCAGAAAGAATAGCTCTTGAAGAACATGCATCACACAAGATATCTGTCATATCAGGTATCTGAGCATTACTCTTTCAGTAGAAGTGTATAATGATACTTCTACTTATAATAGGAGTGGGGACAAGAAACTATTATCGTAAGTTAGGATATGAACTAGATGGACCATACATGTCTAAAACCTTTCATATTTTATCTGCCACTTGCTAATTTGTGTGTATTCTCCGAAATGAAGATAATTAATAACGCCAACATCATTCTCTCTACCAGTTTTCAGATATTTCACAACAAACTATGAGGTGATAAGTTGGGGGATACAAAAAGCACATGCACATTGGCATGATATATTATTAGTCAGTTCATGTAAAAACAAAATCAAATGAGAAACTTTGCACACATCTAACAAATTATGGTGTTCAACATTGAAGCATTACTTGAGGCTTTTTGTTCTCAGGACATAATTATACCATAATGGGTGTGCCTACAAACAAGTACTGTATCCCACATGTGACATCTCAAGGCCATGGTCTGTTCATCAGAAAAACTCCAATGGATTTTGGCCTCCTTAATTTTTTCGTCTCTAACAGAACCATCTCTGACACAAGCAATACTTCATTACTCTCTCAATCAAAACAGCAGTACGTAGACATGAATTATTGCAGTGTGTCCCTTCAAGGAACTATGAGTAATTAACCACAACTTGCCTGGAGCTTGTCATGTAGAGAGTTCACTTTTTCCACGTTCTACAGCAGCTAATGAACTGCCATTGTAATCATGGTATTCAGTAGGGGCACACTTGTCTATCGCAGTTAGGGTACAGCAGTTTAAAATGCTCAAGTCTGATTTGTCAACTAGAAGCTAGTCCACTTTGTTTCCTCCTTAGACATGGTGGAGGAACACCAACGACGAAGGCGATTGATAGTGTTCACCCTCAGGCCCTCAGTACAGAACATTTTCATGGTTTCCATGACGCGCTGTACTCTTAGCAGATAACGATTCATGGGCCTGGGCCCTGTATTATAGTAGCTTCTTCGCATAACACCTTAGCCTCCTATGTCTGCGTCTTGTTGTCTATTACTTAGGGCTTGTACAGTGAAGTTATGCCTAAAATGTCACTAGGGAATTTTCACATTACACTTAACCAGCCACGGACAAATAATTGTGTCCAGAGCCTCCATATGTCTTATATTTATAGGGCTATCTTTGTACATGATTTCTGCTTATTAAAGGAATACCCATGGCGTCCAAAGGTTAAGCTTATATCTACGTACTATTATTGTCTCATTCAGCACTATTCCTCAATATTGTGAAGAGTGATAAAATGGCAAGGAAACAAAAATGCAATAATGCTGGAATGAAGACCACAGTTGATATTACTGGTCCTGTGTACTGTCATTGCAAGCAATCTGATACATCATGGCAAAGTAATCCTTGTTCTCCAGTCTTCTCTCTAACTCTGCAATTTTCTTTCTTAGGGTCTCGTTCTCTGAGTGCAACTGCCAACAACGATAGGTGTGCAATACAATCACTAAACGACAGTCAATTATTTTAAAGAATAATAAGACAAGATTGTGATGGAATATAATTGAAAGATGATTAATACACAGATTGTGAGCACGATGCCACTCACCAACCCATCACAAAACTTCTAGATTATTTTAGCTTTTTTGTGCCACTCGCAAGCTCCATGTAAGGTATGACCCCGTATCATGCAGGTGGGAATATTGGACACTTTCAACAGTTTTTACCGGCTATGTTTTGTCAGAAAAAGCCTAACACCATTACCTCCTCATTTTCCTGCAATGTTTCAGCAAGAGCCTGTCGTCTTTGTTCAGCCAAAACCTTCCAGTATTCCAATGGTGGTTCCTCTGCACACGTATGTAATTACTTACTTCTAAGCATATGCAACACACATACCTGATGTACACATTTCATGGTCAAGTGACCCAATTTCTGTCTGCACTCCCTGTGTCCCAAATATAGAAAGGTTTTCTGGCGGTGCTAGTATGCACAAATTGATTACCTTGTTCTTTACTTGCACTCGACTTTTTCGTACATCAGTAACAGCACTAGCTTTGTTCACAGCAAACTTGTTCTGTAATCAAGAGTAACACTTCATGCACATTGTATATACTCATGCTTACCCGGCAGCATATTTTTTTTGTACATCGATGATGAGTATAATGAAAAGCACTAAGTCATCATACAGCTGGAATTCACTATCTCCAGTATCTATTTTGACATAGATCATCAGCCAGTTCCACACATCAATTAGAGACAAGGTTGAAGATCGCCATGCAAACAAGGTTGAAGTTTGCCATGCAAGCTCCTAACTGTCTAAGCCGTGAAAAGCTCTACAACACGAAAACTGGTCAACAAAGTGGGGCAATACTACAACAAATGTCATTTAGGTAGACTCTGGCTTGGAACATACTATTTACTTGCAGTATCAATCTTCATTATCTTAGGATGCTGCAAATTGTGGTATGAATAAACAGACACATTTAATATGCACTCACGCACACATAAACTGACCAAGTACTATAACCTTACGTGCCCTTTGTTGTGACTTCTTGTGCCTTCAAGAATCACAGAGCAAGCGGACCCGGTCGAGGTAAGCCTGTGCTAATTAGCAATTGGCTTGTTGACTTGATTTTTCGCCATAATTCTCGAACGAAGTGCTTTTACGAAAATCGCCAAATATAAAATCAAGCCAGTGTAGCGCTGAACCCGTTTGTGTCACTTTTTGGCCGGTTTGTTGCATGCAGTGGCAGAAAACGTGGTAAGAGACACACAGACCAAGTACTATAACCCTTGCTGCGCATGGGCGTCGCGAGTTAAAAATCAAAAAAAGGAAGTATGTACCTGCAAATTTATATTTGGCCAAAATGTGTAGGTGTAGTTAGCACTTAGATTTCTAGAATTCCATTTTACTTGAAGGAATGTGTGTAGAAAATAATTAGCCACGCTTTTCACTTCCGGGGTATGCTACGAGGCCATTTTGGGGTCAAATGTATCAGCACACCCAGAATTAACCAGCCACAGACACAAAAATTATGTCTAGGGTTCAATAAGTTAATGTACAACAGGCTGTTAAGGGTTCCATGCTTATTATACGTCCGAATGTAGTTACTACCCGAGGGCATTGCTGCACAGTGGTGTACAACCACAAGCCACCAGCAACCGGCCTGGTAGCACTGGTTTGTAGTCCAGTAAATCCGGTTTGAGTGGTTGCATAAAAAACACTTTGGCTGGTTCAAATTAGAATTCGTGTGCATCATTGGTGGACTGGAGAATTTCGCGAAGGTGTCGCAGGGGTGGGTTATACTAGGCACTAATACTGATATTCTGCTTATTAACCCTCGGCGCGCATGCGTAGCGAGGGTTACAGTACTTGGTTTGTCCGTCTGTCTGTCCGTCTGTTACCACCACGCGCAACAAACAGGTATAATAGCGACACCAACTGGTTCAGCGCTACACTGGCTTGATTTTTAAAAATGGCGATTTTCGTAAAAGTGCCGCGTTCAGAAGTTATGGCGTGAAAACCAAGTGCACAAGCCAATATGCTAATTAGCACTAGCTTACTTTGACCTGATCAGCTTGCTCTGTGTATCTCGGAGGCACATGAAGTCACAACGAAGGGCGTGTATCGACTTCCGCATGCGATCTACTACTGTACAAGCTAGCCCGTGTCAGACTCTCCGCCAGCTACTAGTGGGAGATCACGGGTAAACGCAGACTAATAGGCCCGGCCCATCAATTAGAGGTACCGCGCATGCGCAGTTCACCGAGGGTTTGCACTTTAGTGCTTTTCATTAAAACAGATACACCTATGGCATCCAAAGGGTTATCGAACTTATATTTGGGGTAATAGTACAAACCTTAGATGGAGGGATTTTTGCAGCTAAAGGAGCACATTTTTCTCCGGAAGAATAAGGTTCCAATAGACGTAATGTTATCCTATCTGACTGGCAACTTGCCTAAAACATATAAAATAAAACATGATTAATTCCTATTACCATGATTGTAGAATCGTCCATATAATGGGCTAGAGGTTTACCATAGGCACTCAGATCTTGTGATTTGTCTGTGTTAGTAATTACGGTAAACTTTCTATTTATAGCCAACCCTACACATGCTATTACTAAATTCCCAGTGTTCATGGACCACTCAATTACTGTATAACAGGTTATGGTAGTAGCCAGACGATCCACAACTTAAAGTATTGCTTTGATAGCACTTAGACACACAGTTATGCACTCTTCTATAACACAAGAGGGATGCAATGCATTTTTGGCGAGCATTTCAATATTATACGCGTTTTAGCACTTAATTTAGAATCACGTAAACATTGCGGTAGGTTGATCAGTGGGTCCATCTGATATACAGACATTCACGCGCCTCAGTGGACTTGCTTCGCTTGCCATAATAATGAAGAAAAATGGACAACAGTGTTGAATGAGACACTATGTTGGAACTATCACTTCCAAAATGAAAAGCACTAAATTACAAACAATCGGTGCACTAAGAGACACACGGGTATAATATAATTATGCATCACACCACACTGTAGATTAATGTAGGCTTTCTTGCTTGCTCGCTACTTTTGACAAGGCTATATAGGCGGATAGCATTAGAGGCATTGCAGGACTCGATACTCACCCTCCACGATAACTTCTGATGTTTCCACGGTGCACAAACATGGGCAGAAACTAGTTGAGTGAAGCCAAGTTTTTATTAGCATATTGGCGTGTTCACTTGCTTGTTAACACAGTACTTTAATCAAGTCCTGAGTCTGCCAGTATCACTACTTGGCCACTTCATTGCGCGCCATGGCAGAAAACGTGGGAAGAGACAGGCTGACGCGGATTGTCGCCACTTACTCACAACATGAATTTTGTTAGTTCATGGTGTAAACTGTGAGGACAATGGTGAAGGAATTCTCTGGAGAGCCAAGAACACAGCAATGTAGAACTGGTTAGTTGAGCGAACATGGAATCTTACACTGCACACAATGCAGTCACAACCAAAAACTGAGAAGCTGCCAGAGAGGGCAACACCTGTACATTATTTGCTTATGAAATGAGTCATTCTATGAGAAGCAAGCTCATGCTTCGTGAAGGGTTGCATATTATGTGCACAAAGTTTTTATCATTCTGGGTATTGGTAGCACACTTTATTATTTGTACGGTAGTACTTAGTATATAGGGATGGGCATGGTACGTACATCATAGATTGAATGGGGCTATGATAGGGAGTTTTGTTCATCTTCTTCCCCTTCTTCAGATTGAACTCGCGTAACTCAAAAACAAACTAACATATAGTAATGAAATTTTGTAAGAATGTAAATATCCGTCACCCGAAGAGACTGGTCATACTTATTTGTTAGTAAACAACAACAAATAGCCCCAGGCAATACATTATAATGGGATCACATGTTGTGTCAGTATAACTCACAAATGGTAAGAGCTATGTGAACCAAACTTGGTAGACATAATGTATTCAATCACCAACATTAACTCTTTCGCGGGCGAAGGTGAATTTATGCGCCCTACGTAAATCTACTACGTGTGTGGGCGAAGGCGCTTTTTTGCGACCATCGTCAAAGCAGTTTGCTTCTTGCACCCTGCTCACGCTAGTTTGCTTGGTGGAGGTTGTTACATCACTATACTACATGATAAGCCAGCTACCTTCTGCTTGGACCCAGATATGACAGCTGAAAAGCTTTCTACCACACCTGGTTAGTACCGCACGCTTGAAGGTAAGCCGCTAATAGTCTAACACTAGCTTTGTAGTGCATACCACTCGCTAGATAGAGGTAAATAGCTTTCCAGACAAGCCTCTTGCTTTCTAAAGAGCCATTAGCTCAGCAAATCCATCCTAGAAAGCCATTCAGCAGCAAGTTTAAAAGAAAATTGCCTGAGGCCTTTTCAAACAAGATGTGGTCGTCATGGAAACATGTAATCGTCATGGAAATGATATAATAAGCATACATACCAAGTTTCCACTCTACTACCATTGGAAGAGTGAAGAAGTAAATTTAAAGAAAAGTGCATGAGGCTATTTGTTGTTGTTTACAAACATGTATTGTTGTGATTTTAACTCTTTCATGGGTATAAGCAATTATTACGTAAACTATTGAGTGGGCAGGAATATTTAGCTACTGTCACATACTGGCACACAACCAGTAGCTAAAGCCAACTAGTGTCAACTACTTACTTTTCCTGTTGGGAATTCCCCTGGAGTAGCCACAGAGGCCTTGGGGGTGTGTCACACGCAGCTGCTCTACGTGAACGGGTAAGGCACCTTCTCTACTGCTAACTTTAGCACGCATGGAGGTGAAACTTGGTGGGCATGTTTATTACATCGTTTCCATGATGACCACAACAACAAATAGCCTCAGGCACTTTTCTTTAAAATTACTCCTTCACTCCTCAAACTTGCTAATGGTAGAGGTGAAACTTGGTGCGCATGTATACATCTTTTCCATGACGACCACACATTATTAGAACAACAACAAATAGCCTCAGCCATTTACTTCTTCACTCCTCAAACTTGCTAATGGTACCACTTGGTACACATGCATATTACATCATTTTCATGACAACTACATGCTTCTATGACAACTACACATTGTTCAAATAGCTTCAGGCACTTCTCCTCAAACTTGCTAACGGCAGCACACATGCAGATGAAACTTGGTACGCATGCGTATTACATCATTTCCATGACAACAACAGGCATTTTTCTCTATTATTAATTTTTTTAGGGGGCTTGCCCCCTTTCACAGACATTATACGCAGCAGTATATAAAAATGAGTGGAGACTAGTAAATTAAAAATCCTGCGAATTTAAAAAAGAGGCATATAGGGATGGTATAAAAAATATAAAAAAGGATAGGGATGGGATACATGAAACATAGTTAATGAAGTAAGCACGCTGACACCCCCAACTGAATCACACAATCCCTATATTGTTGCCTAGGTGAAGTATTAAACATTCAACATTGCACAATAGTCTAGCTTGAAAACTCATGCTACTGAGTAACCAAGAGTACAAATGGAGTGGCACACCAGGCAACAATATAGGGATTGTGTATGTATGGCTTTGGGCTATTTTTTGTTTTTAAATATACGTATTATGAAAAATTATCAATTATTGTGCAAAGATCTCCACATCTTGCCCTGTTTTTGAGATACACTTGTTGAAACTAAACATCAACGACGAGAATAATAACCTTTCGTGAATTACAGATTATGCAATTTAAGCCATTTGTTGTACGTACTTCCTTTGACCATAGAGATCAGACTGAACGTCAGAAGTTAGATCTGATCGAATTGATAAACTGAAACGTGAAAATTCAATGTATGGGCATAATGCAGATAATTTGTGTCATCCCCAAATGCTAATTGCTGCCGTACTTGTATAGCCTCGTTCCCAGTCCGTTTTTTTGCAGGTGAAATGGCCTGGTACAATCTGGTACCGACCATCCCCAGAAACTTGGGGATACCAGATATCTTTGAACACTGTCCGTTTATTTCCGTATTCTCCCCGTGTTACATTCATATATATAATCTTTAGCCGCTTACCAGTGTGTTAACCGCAGTTGGAA